CAAGGCCATCATATCACTTCCCCCCACACTTACATCTGAGTTTTCATTAATTTTTGAGTTAATTTGTATATATAGTGTGAGGTAGAGATCCTGTTTCATTCTTTTGCGTGTGGATATCCAGTTGTTCCAGCTCCACATCTTGAAGGGATTATTCCTTCTTTATTGATTTGTCTTGGTACCCTTATCAAAAATCAATTGAGTATAAATGTGAAAGGTTATGAATTCTCAGTTCTACTGATTCATATCCTTGTCCACATGCCAGTATCACACTGACTTGGTTTTGAAATCTAGAAACATGAGTCTTTCAACTTTGCTGTTTTCTCAAAACAGTTTGGGTCATTCTAGGTTTCTTGCATTTTCATATGTATTTTAGGAACTACTAGTTACTTTCTGCAAATATGACAACTAGAATTTTGATGGGAGATTATGTTATGAAATATACAGAATTGGGGGATATTTCTATTTCAACAATATTGAGTCTTTTTTTAATATTTATTTTTTAGGTGTAGATGGACACAACACAATGCCTTTTATTTTTATGTGGTGCTGAGGATCGAACCCGGGTCCCACCCATATTAGGCGAGCGCTCTACCACTGAGCCACAACCCCAGCCCCAATATTAAGTCTGATGATTCATGAATATAGAATGTTCTTCCATTTATTTAAGCCTTTTAAAATTTGTTGTTTTCAGTAATACTCTGAAAGTGTAACTTTTTTTAAAGTTACAATTCTTTTTTATTAAGTTTATTCCAAAGTATTTTGTTCTTTTTGATACTTATATAAGTGAAATTATTTTTTGAATTTATTTTTAGTTTATTCATTGCCACTGTACAGAAACACTATTTTTGTATATTGCTTGTGTATTTTTCAACTCCAATGTCAGCTGTGAGTTTTTCATTGAAGCCATTCCGTTTATCCAGATGGGGAGTTCTCTTTTGTTGTTAGTGTGTGCTTATCATAAAGGGATATTGAATTGTGTCAATAATTTTGTCCTTTGTCATGCTGATATGATATTACACCAGTCTTCTGGATATTAAACCAACCTTGTTTTCCAGAATAAATCCCACTTGGTCAGAGTGTGCAATCCTTTTTATATGCTGCTGCATTCACTTTGCTAGTCTTTTGTTGAGGATTATATCTATAATCATAAGAGTTACTAATTTGTAGTTTTCTTTGCCTGGTTTTGGTATCAGGGCAATAGTGATCACAACAGAATGGATTGAGAAGTATTCTTTTCTCTTCCATTTTGGATGAGTTTGTGAAGAATTGGTACTGATTTTTTCTTTAAATGTTTGATAGAATTCACCAGTGAAGTCATCTGGGCCTAGGGCTTTTCTTTGTAGGGAGTTTAAAAGTACTAATTAAATCTTTATTTACTGTAGGTATATTTAGACTTTATATTCTATATTAGATTTCCATTTCAGATAGTCAATTTTGATAGTTTGGGTCTCTAGGAATTTATCCATTTTATCTTATTTATGCTGCTGTCATCCAGTTCATTCTATTATTCCTTTACACAGTCTTTTCCATTTTTGTAAGATTGGTGGTAAAGTTCCCCTTTCCTTCCTGATATTAATAATTTGAGTTGGTTCTCCTTTCCTTGGTCAGTGTAGCTAACAGTTGATCTTTTTAGTTTCACGGATTTTCTCTACATTTTGCTCTTCTCTGTTCCATTAATGTTAACTCTTGGACTTCATTACTCTTAGAAAGGGCTGTTTAGTGGGGGTGTATGCTGGCTTATGCTGAATGTTAGCCAAAGTTCAGGGACCTGTGGGAAGGAAGCTTACTATTTTTCTGGATGGCTCAGTGTGATACAAACCATTCAGTTAATCAGTTATGAAGCAATATGGAGAAGAAAGTTTCTTCGCAATAAACCACTTCCTGGAATACAAAGGTTGGAGGGTGGGGAAGAGGGCCATTACTACCAAACTTATAGAAATAAAAGTAAAATTCCTTTAATTGGCTGTATTTCAGAGCACAGGGCTCAGGTAAAATGTAACATTGTCAAAAAGAAATTTAAAATATTCTGTTTTCCTTAAAACACAGTAAAACTAATACTTTGTAACTGAATGTTCCAAAGGACACTTCTAGGAAACCATGATTTGAATTTAAAGCAAATAGAGTTTAATCAGCATGGAAAGATTGTGGGGTCATTATCGCCATCTATCCTAGCTGGTGACCTATGCTGGGTTCACAAATTTGACTATTCCAAAAACATAAGAAAATGGCAAAGAAAGCACATAAACCACAGAAGTACGTTTTCAAAATCCAGGATGACTCTGACCTCAGGGGTCCATGGAAAGAGAGAGAGCCACTGGAATTCTTCATTCTTATATAGGGGACTCACAAGGGGACATCTATCCCCAAAAGGGCAAATGGGTAGGATTACAAAGGAACAGGTGAGTGTAATTCAACCCCACGAGGCAACACTACTCCTGGAGCCATGCCTCATTATCCAAGTGGAGGGCACAATACTTGTTCAGTACCTCTTGCTCAGGACTTAAGGGCCTGTATTTCCAGAGTGCTCCCCACGTCATATAGTCCAGCTTACTACTGTCCTGGATGCCCATCAGTCATCAGAATTACACATATCGCTAGTGCTAAAAGTCTTGACTGGAAGCCATGACCACTGTATAAATCTAGGGTTAGAAACCACTTCCTTATTCTAAACTGAAATATGTGTCCTTGGAACCTCCATCCTGATTCTGACCTAATGATACAAAAACAGACCTTGCCTCTTCTGCCCAGTTCCCTCTACTGGACTTTGGGTGGTAGCATGAATCCTTTCAGTTCAGTTTGCAGAAGGCTGTTTCTAGAGGAATCCTCAAAACTTGTGGACTGACCATGGCCTAAAGGCCTGGTCACTGGATTCATAAAGTACCACCTGAAATCACTGAGTTTTATTTTTCTTTCTTTCTTAGCAGCCATTTTATGTTGTTGAATCAGTTAGTTATAACTGAGATACCTGAGTCTTTCATATGAGATACAGCTTCTCATTTGTATTTATTCACATCATCAGTGCTAATCACACATCATTGGCTCTATGCAGAAATTAGGCCACGCTATATCCAATGAAATAAAAACTTGAATAATTCTTTGGGTTCTGCAATGTGTTAGAAAATACCATCTTTTAGAATGTAACCCTAAGCATGCTGAATGTAACTGTATATAAATAAATGAACATGAATTTATGGAGCCTGTGTTGGGACTATAGATGTAGTTTTTTTTTCTTTTAAAGATAAAATATACAAACTTTAATTATGCTAACAGTTAATGTCAATGTATATACATGGAATGTTCTCTGAGGGCAGGTGTAATCCTTGAGTTGAAATCTTTGTTACCTAAAGTAAACGCACCCTTGGCTCTCTTTGTGGTTTTAGCCCTTCCTCCTGTACTTGACCCCAGCTCTCACAGCCGTTCTGTAGAGCAGACATGACCTTCAGAATTGCAGGTGGGGAAGCCGACTCCCAACTCAGGCAGGTGAATTTTAGACCACCAGTGAGTAACACAGCTGAAATCCAAACCCAAGTATGATTTTAAAACCCATGCTCTTCTCATGGGTCTATGGTGCTTTTCAAGTGTATAGCAAAGCATCTCCCCTGTGAAAATTGTGTAAAGATGAGCAGCACTGTATGGCACTCAGGCTGGAACACTGAAATATGAATTCAGTGTACTAAAAAAAAATGCTTGTCATAGTTTTTTGACTTTTTAAAATCACTGTTTATTCCATTTGTAGAGGGTTTTTTTTCATACAAATATTTGCAACAGTTTTGAATTCCCCAAAACCATACATAGACGATAAATACCATGCTATTAAATTATTAAATTTGTACAAAAATACTTTACAGTTTAATACTTGTTTGTTACAAATAAAAATACATATTTAAGTGACTCATGATCTTTTTTTTCTTCCTTAACATGATTCTGCCTTACACTTTCTTGCCCTGGCGGTTCTGAAATGTGATTTAAATTATATATTTCTTTGCACAAAAAGAAAGGTGAACTTTTTCCTTAAACAAAGGACACAGTGTTTGAATGCTTTGCCTAAATGGTTGTTTGAATCATTAACCAAAATGAAAATGTTTGGAAAATAATTGTTTCAACATTCTACCATCAATATACAGATCTATTTTTTTAAATATTTACCAAATAACAGTTATTAGTGTACTATTCAAAATATCTGAACAAATGAAAACAGTTGCCAACAATCATTAAAAGCAACTGTCACGATTTATTGCTTTGAGGGATGGTAGTAATTGGCAATGCATTTTGTGAAAAATGTATTTACAATTTCCATAAGTGGCATGGCTCAGAACAAAAGATAGTCCAGTGTCATTTTTAAGTACATGTGCTGTACACCCCTCAATATTAACCAGTTTTCAAAACATGTCAAGCAGTATGAGTTTGATTTGCCTATTAATAAGATGAATCTCATTTTAATAGAATCTTCATTCTCTCTTAAATTCTTAGTCTTGAATTTTAAAAATAGGATAATATAACTAATTATCAGTGTTCCTACACACTCTAATTTCATTATCAGAGATTTTTTAGCTATTAAAAAATGTGTCCTTAAAAAAAAAAAAAAAACAGGTCACAAGACATATCCTGTTTGATAATTTGTTGCATAGGGAATAGCATACATCTTAGAGTTAAAATCATTCCTATATTTGGGCAAACATTTACCACCACCTATTATGGTCTCCTACGTGCATCATTGCTGAAACATTTTAAGATAACTTTTTACCCGTACCCCTCCCATTGCAGCAGTCCCTGCAGTGTACCAAATACTAGTTCCCCTAGTAGAGCCAGCTTCATGTTGGTCATGTTCTTATGTTAATGACTTCATAGTAAGAAACTGATTTCAAAGTGAATTAAGGAAATCATCATTGAGAATATTTTCAGACAGACATTTCTCTTTTTAAAAAGTGATCGTTAAGATGAATTTGTAAAAAAATTTCCTCTGATGTTAATTCTGGGGGGGAGGGCAGCCTATTTTTCTCTTTTTCTCTACCAATGGGCTTGGCAGGGAATTGCCTGCTATATATCATAGTGGTCACCTAAAAAGAAATCTTCAACTTGAAAAGGGAAGTGAACATGAGCCATGAGAGAGATTTGAAAAGACCCCTGTGCTTGCAGTTAATGCCACGTGATTATCTGTGCTTCAAATGTCACAGAAATCTTAAAGGGATTTTTAGCACCATGTAGATATCGTCTTTTGTCCTGCTTTATAAAAGTGTTGCTATAATGTATTAGTGGGTTCTCGCATCTCCAGATTACCACCGTGGCTAGGCTGTTGGAAAAAGGCGCTGTTCTGTTCACTCCAGTCTCCTCCTGGTAGAGTCTGTTCTATGGATTTCTGGGAAGCCAGTGGGTTTCTGCTAATAACCAGGTCCAGCTTATTACCAGATTCTGCTATGAGGGGCACGACAAGACAGCAGTCAAAGTCTCTAGTTCGGACATGATTAACCTGAAAGGCCAAGAAGAGTCATTGTTAGTCATTGTTTCCCAAACCTGGAGTGCACCTCTGGTGTAGCAAGTTGATGAATCAGAAAGGTGCTTTAAATGTGCATACCATGCAAAGTTCCCCCCAGCCCTGTTCTGATTATGCTGTAATGTGGCCATTGGTGCACAATCATTCTCTGCTAAACTGTAAGGCCCCTAAGATCAGGAACAAGTACACACCCTCTCCTCCCCAAGCAGGCAAATTGCCTCTCTGATGGGAGGTGGCCCCGTTGTTAAATATTACCCCGATTTGCAGATAAAGATAGTGAGGCAGAAAGAGGGCTAAAAGCTTTGTCTTAGAGGAGTGGTTGGTAATAGGCTGTAATTCCAGAGAGTCCTGCAGGTTCCACAGCCCATGCTCTTAACCATGACCCTTAAAAGTGAGCTGATGCTCTCCTCAGCTCCTATGTGTGCTCATCTTCCACTCTCCTCCACCATCAAGAGTTTTTAAAAGCATCTCCATTTTGCTTCCACTCCTTGACTTCCCCTTCTCTCCTCCATCTCCTGAGGTCTGGTCCTGTTCACTTGTACTGCTAGAGAATGACCCTGTTGTCAAACCTCAAAATGGTGTCGAGTCCTCATTGTCCTTGGCCTCTAGCATTTTCTGCTCTCAACCTTTAACTCTTTTCCCTGGGATGCAAAGGCCACATCCAAAAGCTCAGGCTGGTGGCCAGAGATAAGAACCTAGAGGCATCTTTCTCTGCTAGCAGGCCCAGCTCCCTGCTTTCCCCAGCACTTCCTTTAAATGGACCGTTCAGACATTTAAGCTCAAACCTACACACAAGGGAATAGGGCGGCCCACAGGAATAGGTTGGCTCATACACTATTCCTTTGTGCATAATGCTACCTGTCACTCTCTCTCCCTGGCCCTTCATACCTATCTGTGACCTGGGAACAGTTGGACTGTCTACCTACCCCAGTGTGCCCTCCCAGCCCTGGATCTATCAGTAAACAGACATAAACTTGCCTCCTATTGTGGTGGTGTATTGAATTTGCACCTTCCATGGGGAGAACCAGAGGCTGTCCCAGGCTGGGTTTCCCCAGAGAACTGAAGGGTGGGCTCCGTGTACCAGGGTGATGGCCAGGCACAGCATCAACTGGACACTGAGACTGCCCCAAGAGCCATAGGGCCTCTACCAGTATAAAGGAGTCTCCCATGTGAGGTGCCCTGTGTCACAGGGCAGACAACTAGGCCTTGGGCCATTTCCAGATGAAAGAGTTATTCTGCAAACAGCACACTGTGAACATGCATACTCTTCTTTTTCTGGCTGGCAGGGTTGTTCCTAGTGCTGGAAACCCAATTTAGCTGGGGGGTCTCCAGATGCTAGGTTCTTATTACACCACTCCATTTGCTTCTCTTACCATTTTAACTATTTGCCTTTAATAATTTTTCTGCCTTATTGCTTCCTATCCTTTAAATTTTGTTATTGTCAGAATTCTATCTATGCTTCTCTCCTTTATAATAAATCAACTTTATATAAACCCTCACCTTCAGTATCCAGAATCTTTAGATCTTGCTCCAGCATCTCTGCTAAGCAGATGTGACCTGTCCACTTCCTCCCAGGCTGCTCTGCCAGAATGTGCTGACACTGTAAAGACTCAGTGAGTCTTAAACACGTCTGTCTTACCCATACCTACCTGGTTTCCTTACCTGTCTGGCCCCATTCACCCATGATCATATTGTATTGCTTTTATGACTTACAAATTATGTCACTATTCTGTGCTCAAGAAATTATTATGCCTCCAAAATAGCTTTATCATGGCATTCAAAGCCCATCACAATCTGAATCCAGACTACTTTTGTATTTCAGCTTTCATGAAAGTTGGTATAGCTCCAATCAGTAGATTACTCCTAGAAGCTCAGTACCTTGTCCATAGTAATTACTAGAATATCTATGGAAAATGAACTATCCTAGGACAAGACTAATTGTTCTATTGCCAAGGTAAAAATGACCACCAGAATTGGTATTGAAACTATGTAGTTGATCAAAGGTAACTTGCTTCAGGGAATACACCCCTACAAACCAACAAACCAGGGGCAGTCTCAGGCTTTGAAAATCACTGTTAGTGACAGATTTTTTTCCAGCTGAATATGTTTCTAAGACAGATGCAAACAAACTGCGCTTTTTTTTTTTTTTTTTTTTTGATACCAGGGATTGAACCCAGGGGTGTTCAACCACTGAGCTACCTCCCCAGCCCTTTTTATTTTTATTTTTTAAATTTTGACACAGTCTCTCACTAAGTTGCTTAGGGCCTTGCTAAGTTGCTGAACTAACTGGCTTTGAACTTGGGATCCAGCCTTCAGAGCCAGGGATTACAGGTGTGGGTCACTGTGTCCAGCTCAATCTACTGCTTTGATTGCAAAATACTCTTACCAAAATCTGTACAAAGGTCAGGGATTTGCTTTGCCAAATGAAGCTATACTAACCATAATAATACATTAAGTTGGTTTTACGGTTCAGCTCTTTGGTTTCAGATATAGTGTGAGATACTTAGATATGAAGGATCATATCATGGCAAATGGAAGAATAAGGTACTAGCCTTGATCTCAAGAAGTTTGTAATCTGCTGGAGAATATGAATGGGGAAACAGGCAATTGGAATAAGGCAAATTCTGCCAAAGAAAAAAGATTCTATCCTAGACAGAATATAGAATATGTCTTTAGAAGTATGTGAGCATTGGTCAATTAAGACTTTGAGGAGAAAACTAAGTTGGTAGTTTTCAACCTGACTGCTCACTGGAATCACTTGCTGGAGTTTTAAAACACTGATGCTGTTTTTCATTCCTAGAGATGATGATTTCAGTGTTCTGAGATTTGGTCCAGGCATTGGGATAAATTTTTCCAATTCTGTTTTTCAGGCAAGGTAGAGAATCCCTGATTTGAGTGAAGCCAAAAGGTTAAGTAGGAGTTGGGTAGGTAGGAAAGAGGGTGGGAAAATAGGAGAGGGTTGTGGGGAAAGGTGATAGTGCATTGCAAGGTTCAGGGCCAAAATGCTTCTGTCCTTCTGTACAACATTGACTACTTTCCATGAGATAGGCATTGTTCTTGGGACTGATGAGATAGTGGTAAAATCACTGCCCTCATGGAGTGACATTTTAGTGGGCAAGAAAGTAAACAAATAATTGGGTAGGAAATAAGGCTCATGTCCCAATGATAGAAAGCCAGGTGGTGGCAAGACATGCCCTTCCTGAAACAAGTCCATTTGTAGCCAGAGAGTAAATGAAGAGAGGGACAAGATACTGGCAAGGAAAGATACTTTAGGTTATACTGAAGAAGAGTAGAAGGAAGGACTAGATGGTAGGGAGCTGGAGGGACAAAACTACATAATATTGACATATTAATACATGCCACAGTTGGATATTAGTGACCCATGTGGATGGGTGGAGTCTGAAAAATAGGCACTAGATTGGGAAAGATGGCTTGGAGCCAAAACACTGTTAAGAAACCAGAGAACTCTTTAGGCTGGGATAGAATTTACTACAGCTGACAATTCTTTATTTAGCTGTTTATTTTCAATAATTCCGTAATCTTGGTGACAATGTTTGAAGGCAAGAGAGCAAAGAACTCCACATCTGCAGGGATATTTTGAGGAAGTCCCCAGTCATGAGTCAGTTGCAAGGAATTAGGATCTCACCCAAGGTCTTACCTGTAAGAGTCTGTCATAGGGCTTTAAGCCACCCAGATCGCCTGGCCCAGCTGGGCGAATATTTTTTACATAGACTCCCTTCTCTAGCAAGCCATCTGCTACACTGAACCCAAAGTCTTCCATGTCAGAATCCTTGTACAAGGTCACCTGAAATGTGAGAAAATGGGAAGGGAAAAGTTAGCAGGCTGGAGACTTTTGCTTCTGAAACTTCTGGATGAATAATCTCTTCAAACTAATTCCAGAACACAGGTAGTTCCCAAGTTCACCTCTGCTGCTGTTTGCCACCCCAAGAAAATTGTTGCAATTTGTAAAGTTCCACCCAGAATTGGTAAAAAAAAAAGGAGGAGAACTGGAGAGTCCTGTTGTTTTTTGTTTTGTTCTTCTTTGTCTCTCTTAAATTGCAGTCACCAGGAATATGTAGGGGAGAAATTCCCTAGGACAGGTTGACATTTGGTAGGAGGAGTAGCCACGTACTTCTGAGATACTGAAGAACAGCCAGAGGCCTGTCCCTCCTCCCCACTCCAGCCCAGAGATGTGCTAAATACAATTCTCAATTTGCCCTCTTTTCTATGAGCAAGGACCATAAAGTCCATTATTTTATTTGCTATGGTACCCAAGTCAGTCCCATCAAGAAAAGTGTTCCTGTAACAAACACCTTGCTCTAGGACTGGGCTTGACAGGTTCCCTCAGGATGTACCTAGGGTTTGGTTTAGTAGCTCAAAGTGTGCACCCTTTCACACTAGGGATTTCAGCCTGTTTTCTTTGCACCCATGGCCAGCCACTGCCAGCTAATGCTTCCCCAATCCTCCCTGCTCCACCTGATCACCTGCAAGAGTTAGTCTGAGGTTAAAAGAAGAAATCATTTGTACCTTCATCAAATCCCTATCATATTCTAAGCACAGGTACGGATGCTGGAAACACCAGCGAACCACAGAAAGTGGAGTCTGTCCTCAAGAGCAAATCTATGACCTTGAATAGTCACTGCAACCTCCCTGGGTAAGGAAGGCGAGTGGTATACTCAGCACATCTCATCCACTTAGTGTATAAGGTGGATGTTGTTTTCATGAAGGTGTACTCAAAGCCCAACCTAAAAACTGACACACAGTTCAAACAATGATTTGGGCTTATTTTTAAACTGCCATTTAAAAGAAATATTTACTTAATTTTAAAAAAAGAACTAATGGATGAATACATTCTTACAAAGTAGTAAAAAATTCAGAACCATTTGGGCAAAACACGAAGATTAGGTCTTTCACAGCAGGATTATTTTTTATGTCCAGTTATTTTACTTCAGAGAGGTATGGAATTCTGGAGGAAATACAGAAATGGTCAGTTTGTGAATTTTATTTTACTGGCTGGAGAGCTAAAATATCAAGCTGAATGGGTCAATACTATTCACCAGGCAGCCCTTGTGGTTATGGTCATATTAGAAGTGAGGAAATTCAATTTTATAGAGGTTAAGTAATCCGCCCAAGGCCACAGAGGTAATAAATGGTGGAGCCATGTCTGTCAGACTCCAGACACCAAATACTTAACTACCATACTCTACTGCCGCTCCAAATGCTTTATTCCATTGATTCTACAATGCAGGGTTTTGTTTTTGCCCTCATTTTAAAATTTCTGAAATCAGATCCTTTTGTAATTAATTGATGGCATCTTGTATCTGTAAAACAGGGCATTTGGCATATCAGCATTCCCCTCTCCCTCCACCAGAAGGAAAATGCCAGATCTTTGCTTCACCTTTGTTTCATGGGGAAAATCAGTCTTGCCAGGTAGTGTCCTCCTGAAGAGGAGTATGAGACAGTAGCCTGTGAAAATGTCAGTCTCAGACCCCATCGCAGACCCCAACATCATTGGGATGACATGGTATGTGTGTGTGTGTGTGTGTGTGTGTGTGTGTGTATGTAGCCTAGTAAAATCCTACAGGCCTCCAATGTGGCATGCACACCAATGATGCATGGGGGTAGGTTAGGTTCAAACTGCATGGTTGAGAGAGTACCCCCCCAAAGCAAAACTCATGGGGGGGGGAGTCTTTGATGGTGACTTGGGCTCAGCTATGTGGCAAACAACAGCCCACCCTAGCTCTGTAAGGTGAGCAGAGGTCTTTTTTGTTGTTGTTCACCAATCTATCTGATATTCCCAAACAGTGCCTGCCAGGTAGTAGGGTCCTGGGTGGAATAGCAAGGGCTCTTTCTAATAGGCCACAGGGTCAAGAACCAGTCATGTTGTGCTGTGCCTTTGCAAGCCATTGCAAAGCATGTGAGTGTCAATTAAAAGGAAGGAATTTAATAGTGGAGTTCAAACCATGTTCCCTTGTACTCATTCAAGGCCTTGGTCAGTATTTGCAAGGCCATCCTGAGACAGCATGGCTGGACAAGAAGTTGAAATGGCGACTCCTTGTGGCCTTGACACTTCTGATCCTGGAGCCAGGCCTGCTAGTAGGAAACCAGGATTCCCAGGCAGCAAGGGAGGTGGGAATAGGGCCTTCCAAGGTAGATGCTGGACTTCCCACTAATAAAGCTTGTAGGACTTGAGGGAGTAGTTTAGAATGTTAACAGGGTGTTGCTGTCTCAATGAAGTTTGTGAGGTAAACCACATAGATATGAAAATGAAATCTCAGAGATTGTCCAAGGTCAAACAGAGCAAGCAATGGAGAACTGGTTCAAAACAAGGTAGGTTCCTTCCTTTCTTCCTTCCTTCCTTCCCCCCTCCCAAAACAAGGTTTCTGACTGCAAACTTAAATCTTTACTTGGAACACTCTGCCTAGCATGGAGTTGCTTAAAAATAATCATTGCAGGCTGGGGATGTAGCTTAGTGGTAGAGCACTTACTTAGCATGCCCAAGGCCCTGGGTTCAATCTTGAGTACCTAAAAAAAAAAAAAAAAAAAAAAAAAACAACAAACAAACAAAAACCCCAAAACTCATAACAAAACCCAAGCAAAAACAAAACAAAAAACCCCTCATCATAGGAATATTTAGGTGCTTCTATTATTATTATTATAATATTATTATTATTATTGTTATTATTATTTTATCCCAGACCATAAGATATTTTTGCACTTCCTTCCCAATGGAAAGATGGAGGAGAATTTTTTTTTTTTAAGAAAACTTTATAGGGCTGGGGATTGTGGCTCAAGCGGTAGCGCGCCCGCCTGGCATGCGTGCGGCCTGGGTTCGATCCTCAGCACCACATACAAACAAAGATGTTGTGTCCGCCGAAAACTAAAAAAATAAAAAATAAATATTAAAAAACTCTCTCTCTCTCTCTCTCTTTAAAAAAAAAAGAAAACTTTATACTTATTCAAGAGTAAAGAGGCTACAACAATGAATCCTCATCACTCAAATCCAACAACCACCATGGTCTTGCTACATTTACTTCATTTACCTTCTTTTTTTTCCCCTTTGGGTAGTATTTTAAGGCAAATGCTATTTGTCATTTCTCTTCTACATACTTTCATATGTATCTCTAAAAAATATGCTCACTTTCTTCTGAATAGGCATTTTTCAAAAGAAGACATAAAAATGGCCAATAAGTTTATGGAAAAATACTCAACATTGCTAATCATCAGAGAAATACAAATTAAAACCACAATGAGATATGGCATCCCAGTCAGAATAGCTAGTATAAAAAAGATGAAAAATGACAAATTTTGTCAAGGATGTCTAGAAGAGAGAACTCATATACTGTTGGTGGGAATGTAAATTAGGACACCTATTATGACTGTCAGTATGGAAGGTCCTCAAAACTCAAAACAGAACTACTGTATGATCTTACAATTTTATAAAGGGAACTAAATCATTATATTAAATAGATACCAGAACTCCCATGTTCAAGGTCCACATTACATCTGTGTTAGGTCTCTATTCTGTTCTGTAGACTGGGAGCCTTTTCTTCCCCACAATGCTGTTGAATTACTGTTGTCCCCCCTGATCCAGCACTATTCTCATCTCAATAGCCACGATATCAAATCAACCAAGGTGACCATTGACAGATGAATGGATAAGGAAAATGTGCTATATATGCAATGGAATATTATTCAGCTATAAAATAGAATGAAATTCTGTTATTTTTTGTGAGATGAATGGAACTGGAGGACATCACGTCAGGTGCAATAAGCCCAGGCATAGAAAAACAAATACTGCATGCTATCATTCATTTATAAAAGAGAAAATAGTTGATCTCATGGAAGAAAGCAGAATGGGTGTTGCTGGAGGCAGGGAGAGGAGATAGAGGCTAGATAATGGGGACCAAGAAACATTCAGGAAAACTGGGGCACTAGTCCTAATGTTTCATAGCACAGTAGAGTAATTATCCTCTATGACAATTTTTTTTTGTATAATTCTAAATAACTAGAAGAGTCTAAAAGTTCTTAACACATAGAAATAATAAATGTTTGAAGAGATGGAAATGCTAACTATCTTGATTTGATCATTATACATTGCACACATATATCACATTATTGTACTGTACCCCCTAAATATGTACAAATATTATGTGTCAATGATAAATTTAAAAAAATAATAGCAATTATTCCTATTAGGGAAAACTACAAGAAGTCTACATAGGCTGCTGATATAGGAAAGAGAAAATATAATAAATTTCATGTATAAGCTAAGTGACATTAATTCACCTACCCAGTCTTATTCTTAACTCTTATTCTTCTATATCCTCCGCATTGTCCCTAATTTTCCCAATTGTCTCAAAACTGGATTTTGTCCCCCAATAATTTCAAAACTTTTTTTTTAACCCAATACATCTGTGTTAGGTCTCATCGACCTCCTTTTCTGTAAAGCACCTGCCATTCCTTCTCCCCAGTGTTATCCTCTTATAGCAGCCTCACCTTACTCAGGGGGGTTTGTTCCAAGACCTCAGTGAGTGCTTGCAACTATATAGATAAATACCAAACCCCATATACAGCACTTTGATGCTGCAGCAGTCAATCTGATCACCAAGAGGGCTACTTGCTGACCAATGGGTGAGAAGCATGTAAGGTATGAGTAAGCTGGACAAGGGGATAATTCACATCCTTCATAAGACAGTGTGGTATTTTTCCATACTTCTCAGAATGGCATACAATTTAAAATGTAAGAATCAATTAGAATATTCCATTTAATATTTTCAGGTCAAAGATGATGGCAGATATCTG